GGAGAGAAAACTGCACATGAGTAAACTCAGTTGCAACTTAGAAGAAAGTATGTAACCAATAGATTAGTGATGGCTATGAAATGGTTTCCCAGCAAAAAAAAAGGAAGTTACATGGTCATTTCCTGTCTTATATTCCAACTTATCCAAGAGATCACTTGGCTGAAATGTGTAATTACTTACATGTGGAGTTTTCTAACACCATAAATACAGCAATACGTTAAGACACACCATAAATACTGCAAAAGTGGAAAGAAAAATAAGAAACTTAGATGAGTAACAAGCTATACATTTTCAATAGTGACGGTTGCTAGTGCCTTGCCATGGACATAAGACTTCAGTTAAGATTGGCTCTTTACAAAAAGATGTACAGAAACCATAAAATAACAGATGAATCAGGAAAACAAAGATATTGATGAAGCAATAACTGGATGAAAGTTTACTGATTGGACTTATGAGAAAGACAGATCTAGATGACAGATGTTAGAACTATGAATATTATTTCAAGCCAAAGGTGCTATGTCTTGCGACATCAGATGGAAGAAATACTATGTTAAAACGTCACAGGACTTTTTCAAATTCTGGTTTATAACCACCATCCACCTCTAGTACCCAGCTGCCAAAGTTTAACTCAGTAGGCTGAAGTAAAAATAGCATCACATGTTCAGACTTTATATGATAGATGCAATCAGGATACACAGTATATATGCAAATCATATAATGGATAAATGCCAGGAAGCATTTATAACCTAGCACTAGGTTACATCAGCATACTGGAAGACATATCTTCTGAAATCATTCCCAAACACAGGACTAATTCTTCTGATCGATCTTCAACAAGTAGTTTTTTGCCAGCTAACTGAGAACGTCCAAGAGGTCTTGCGCATACAAAATGTATCTACATATGATATGTATGAGATATACACACACACAGTTATTCAGTTTCAAACAGAAGCTGTACAAACAAAATACACAGTTCAAAAAAACCTAATAATTATCTATCTATCTATCTATCTGTCCATATATCTATCTAAATCTCATCTAAACCTCTGTGCATCACTTTAAATGTATTAAACAACAGTCATTTTGGGAAATATTTTGACACATTTGACTGAAAGTCTTCCTGAATTAACTTCTGATTTTTATAATGCAATTCTCTGGCAAAGCAAAACAGAGTATCTCCTCTTTGTGTAGGCAACACATCCTACTCAGAATGACGAAAAGACATGATGACAAGACAAATAAATTTAAAAGAAACATCTGGGGTACAACACAGGGAGTATCACCTTTGTCTGGACACTTGCAAATAATGAGAAGTCTCTTGCAGCTTTTGAAGCAGAACCATATAGTAGCAGTAGTAGGAGTAGTAGTATTAATAATAATACTAATAACAATAAGAAGAATAATAAAATGTGAAAGTATTGTTCTTATTTTCTCCTTTTCTTTTGTTTGTTTTAATTCCTCTCTCCTGCAGGTGGATTGGAGGCTTCTTTAGCGATTGTAAGACAGCCTTTCTGTTCCCAGCAAGCACTTTGAACACATTCTGCAGCCAAAGTTGGTGAAGCGAGAGAGATGAGAAGAGGCAGTGATGACGGGAGGCAAGGCATCAAGCTGAGTTTGCACAAGAGGTTCAGCCACACAGAATCTGGTCATTAATGTCCATCAAATATCTTGGCTTGCATTCAAGCTTGCTTAACAGAATGGTGTCATGGCAATAAGATGAAGGTCCCTGTGCCAGAAGTTTCCATGTGGATTTCCCTTCCTCTCCACCCTCTTAGTTTATATTAAGGATGATCTGCCCTGTTGCTGATTTGTACTTTCTTACAGGTACTACAGAACGAATGTTTAGAAAGGTGAGCTAGATTTTTGAAACCCTGCAACATTAAACATCCACAGGGGTCACACGTCCAGAAACTTGACTATAAGGTCTTTGCCAAACAGCAGTGAGAGAACAAGTATGAATATCTGAAATGCATTCCTTTCCAAGTGATGTTGACACTGATCCCAGAATAACAGGCTTATTTGTATGAATACAAATGAACTAGCCTGAATGCTGCACTGCAGAGCCATGAATCAGCAAGACCAAGTCCCTCAAGTACTTATAGATTGTGAGAGATACAGACATCTTAAAATCTAATAGTACTTAAGATTTTATCTTTCTGAATCAAGGAAAGGCTTTTGTGCTCTTCTTTTTGTCCCAGACTCAGCACAGTCTTATTACATGATTTAACCATAATCATGTTTTGCAATGCTAAGCCTGTTTGTTCTTGAACACAGGATGAAATGTGATATTGAATATATTAATTCTGGATAGACCACCCTTTGTCAGATATTTTTTCAGGCAAGTTCTGCATGATCACAATGGATTTTTTCTTCAGGTTATTAGGTCTAACACTTCTAATGCACTGGTACTGAAAACACAAGCCTCTAGAATTTTCCGCCCTTATGGTCATACTATTTTCAAGAAAGGACCTCGTCAGCTGAAAGCATGATATAAAGGGAGTTTAGTATTTGCACAGAAATTGTTTGATAGTAGAGTCTCTAAGCTTTCTCTTTGAACTAAACTATGCAAATTTAATAGAATTAAACAAAATACCCTTAAAGATGACAGAAAAACATGGCACTTGAGATAGGTTTAAAAACTAGTTTCCTCTTCCTTTACCTTGATCCTGGGCAGAATTTTTAAAGCATATTTAACTTACGTGTTTGGTTGTCATTTAGTAAACTCCTTTATCCGCAGTAGCCTTTCTTTAAATAGATTTTTCTATTTCAATTCAAGGCATATATTGTCTCTGTGTATCTCTACAGAAAAACTATGCAGTCATCTTTGTTCTTATCTGCAGGATTTGGAAGGAGTAATTATAATAGCTCAGCAGACTTCAAAATAATCATACTTATAAAACACTCTGCATGAGCTGTTAATTAAAATAATATGTGCTGAAGATAAACCAGACATTTTTAAAATGGATCTCAATCTCTCAGCAAACGCAGCAAAAAACAGTGGCTCTTGCATCCATTTCATTTTTATTTAATGACTATAATAAATTTAAACTAAGAATTCAATTTACTTATACTTTATTCAAAGTTACTATTCAGCACTACCTTGGATTTTCCTAATTAAACCAGATGGCATAATTTACTTTTCAGATGCTCTTAAAAATTCTTGATAATTCCCACTGCTGTTCCATTTTAAAAATGTAATATATAGTATGTATGTATACACATAATAAATTAAGAGTATTGATCTTGAAACTTTCTGTAGATCAGAAAGAAGATTTTGTCAAAGTTTCCTGTACTTATTTTCATTTACACCACAGATGCTACTCTAGATGTGTAGTAGATTCAGTTGAATATATCTGAAAAAGGGAAGTCAAGATGTGGACACAACATAATAAGACTATTTGTCTGCCTATTATTATTGCACAATTACTGTGACTGCCTAGGGAAATCTATGTTTGGCTGAGTATCTAGTCACAACGTTGAACAATGATCTCATTTTATGAATATTTTGTTAAAAAGGAAATTAATCTTTTCTTCTTCCATAAAACAAAACTAATCTTTTCCTCTTCCACTTGCCACATCTTTTAAAACAACACAGCTTTTGACAATGAAATGAAACACAGAAAAAGTACCTTTGCCTGAACATGGGAAGGCACAGTTTATTAAAAAGAAAGAGAACAGGTTCATCTTGAAGTAATTTTCAGTCTGGAAACAGCCTATTAGGGAAGGTGGTAATTGCGACACACATTTACAGTCTTTCAGTTTATATAATATTTTACAGAATGAACACTACAGAGTAACCTTAAATGTTTTGCGTTTCTTATCAGTATATTTTTATGTAAGTTTTAAAAAGAACTCCTGTTTCTCAAGTAGAAATGAAAAAGGGTTTGTAGTCAGAGCCACACAAAATATCCAAATATGGAAATATTTAGATCTACTCAACTCTTCATGGGCAACTACAGGCAGAACAAGAGGTTGATAAAATAAAACAGAAGATAAATTGTAAAAATAATAATTTGACTTGCATTAAATATGACTTCTACTATTTCTCAAAAAAAATTCACCAAAATTTTTCTTCACTGTTATCAAAAAAAGACCATCTCTGAATTTTAAAATTAAATACTGTGTTTCCGCTATAGACTGGTACTTATTTAAAATATAGAACAATGGTAAAATAAATTCATGTGGGTTCTGTAGGGTATCTTCTCATATTACCGCTAACAGTAACAATGGAACTATAATGTTTGTAGGCAAGATCCATGCTCTTAGCAAATTATTCCACATTCTTTATTTATATCATATTTATTCCCAGTTTGAGAGCTTTGAGATTTCAATAAGGAAACGGCTGAGTCCTTCTGGTACACAAATTCAGGTTGAACTTTTCACAGTTGTCTTCCCTACATGAAATATGACATTTAAACTAACACATATCCATGTTTAAACACAAAACTTTTTTGGGCAAGTTCTCCTGCATCCTGCAGCTCTGTTAGTGTCTCCTTAATCACAGCACTGTGAGTTCTCTGAGACCAGACAAAACCACTAAAAGAAACGTGGCAGTAAACTTTCTTTAGGCCTCAACTTCTTATACTAAGAAAGCAAGTGAAACAAAGTAATGAAAGAAAGGAAGAAACAAAGAAAGAAAGAAAAGAAGTCAAAGGTTTTGCTTTAGAATTTCCTTACAACTCAGACTTGATGAGCTGGCACTGCTGTGCAAACTAGCATTTTTTCAGTCATCTTATTTCTTGTAGAATTACATTACTGCCTCACAGCAGTTTTAGATGACGTATTTCAGTTGAAAATCAACAGAGCTGATACTTCAGGACTGACTATCACGTCACTATCAAAGGAAAATGCATTTTTATCTTTATGCAAAGGAAGTTTTCTTCTTTCCTTCAGAATCCTTTCCTTTTCCCTATGCTCTGCACTGGCACATAGTGGGCACGAGTACCCTTGTACTTGCACAGGAGAGCAGATCCAGGAGATGCACTTTGATGCTGACTTACCATTCTGATGCCGTTTTCAAAGGCCTGACGTGCCAGAGAAGCAGGTCCGTCCACAGTCTTACCGTCGTCATCAGGCCCCCAGCTGGCACTGTAAATGTGGATGTGCTGGGGATTAAGGCTCAGAGACTTTGCTTCTACCATATCCGTCACATCTCCGTCCAGCATCCGCACACCTTCAGAATGAAAGACACAACGAACAGGACTGACCAACTTAGAATATTTCTTATTTGTTTTCTCCTGGAGAAAACTGTTGTGCATAACATTGGACTGAATGATTATAAGGATTTCTACTGTTGTTAGAGAAAAGAAGCATAAAAATCTGTTTGGATATGTGTTTTTCCACAGAAAAATATCCCTGGATGAAAAAAATATAAAAAGGTAGGAACATTTTGGTTCTTCTTCAAGTTTTAAAATTATCGACATGTCATTTATCCATTATACAGCCTTCAAACTCCCACAGGAGAGTTTTAGGCTAAGGAAAATTAAAAAAATACTTGAACCTTGAAATGTTTGTATGTGTCACTTAAAGATAACAAATTATTTTCTTTCTCATTTTATACTGTAGTGAAACTGCAGCATCTACTTTGAGCCATTCACAGTTCTAACCATGTTAACAGATGTAATAAAGATCTCTACTGACAAATAATCTTCACATATGAGGCCACAGGGAAGAAACTGGGGAGAACTCTTGTGTGTACACAACTACTACCACACACTGTAGCAAGGCAATTACAGGAAGTTATGAAATATATAACATTATTCAACCTAAAATTACAATATTGTGAACATCCTTCTCTTGCAGAAGAAGTTTTTGTAAGGTATAATCTGAAATTCTTGTGTTAAAAGAATCCATTCATATGGCTTTGGACAAGTCAATGCACCAGCACTTCTAAAGCTAAAGGCCTCATGATGTTTTAAGATTACTAGACTGAATAAAGTCTGTTAAAATCTGGAAACTGAGAAAGCCTGGAAGTTGTTCTTTTGACTAACTCTAACATTTTGATGGCGGTTAAATCTGACCGATAAAACCACCAATGCCAGTTTCAACCAAAAAAAACCCTACATAGAGTTAGTGTGACATGTGATCAAAGGGAGGCTAAATATTAAATAAAAATTTAATAACTGTATAATACAGAGGAATTATTACTTCCAAAATGAACAAGTCAGATTCCATCTCCTTTAAAAGGCCAACGCTATTTATAAGCCAAATTTACATATTTTAAATACAGACACATTTCATTTTGCTTATGAGCTCAGATTAAAGAAACTTGTCTTGTTTACCAAGACTTTAAATTCCAATTAACAAAAGGCATAGGGGTTGCTTTGTTGAAAGAGGAGTTATTTTTTTCCTTACTCTATTTGACTCAAAAATGTAAAGTGACCGTACTTCTCAGTTCACACAACAGATGCCCATGTTTTGTGAGATAATAAACTTTTACAAACTGTAATCTCACTATGGACTTCATAAAAAATGGTCATTAAAGCAGCTCTGGGATTCTAGGGTTTTTTTCTTCTACCTCAGCATAATCTGAGAAAATTAATGCTAGGTGGAAGTTGTGTTCTAAATTTCTTTAAAGCACATTAAAATATTAATAATTTAAAAATCAGTTCTAAATAAAGAATAAAGGTACACTGGTTTTGAAAGAAGGAAAATAAAACTTTTTTTTATGGCTCTATAACCATGTGGCAAGTCTAAATGCTATATACAATGGGTGAACAGTAATTCCAAATTCTGTAACTGGCATCTAAATTAATTCACACCAGAATTTTTTTGCTAATGGTGAAGTGGGCTATTCTAAACCAACAGCAACAAGGCTGTGACTTAGCTGTTGCTCTCTCTGGCCAACAATGGACACACATGCTTCGAAGTCATTGGCCAAGACCAACTGTGTGAGGTTCAACCAGGGCAAGTGCCAGGTCCTGCCCTTGGGTCATGTCAACCCCAGGCAGTGCTACAGGCTGGGGTAAGAGTGGCTGGAAATCAGTCCAGGGAAAAGGACCTGGATGTGCTGGTCGACAGCCAGCTACACGTGAGCCAGCAGTGCAGCCAGGTGGCCAAGTAGGCCAATGGCATCCTTGCTTGTATCAAGAATGTGGGGTCAGAAGGATCAGGGAAGTGATTGTACTTTTGTACTGCGCACTGGTGAGGCTGCATCTCAAGTTCTGTGTCTAGTCCTGGGCCCTTCACTTCAAGAAAGATACTGAGATGCTAGAGCATGTCCAGAAATGGACAACAGAGCTGGTGATGGGTCTAGAGAGTAAGTCATACAAGGAATGATTGAGGGAGCTGAGGGTGTTCAGCCTGGATAAAAGGAGGCTCAGGATAGACCTTATCACTCTCTACTACTGTCTGAAAGAAGGTCGTAGCAAGTAGGGGTTGGCCTCTTCTATCTGGCAACTAGTGACAGGATGAGAGGACACAGCCTCAAGCTGTGCCAGAAATAAATGGATGAGGCACTAAGACTTAAGAAGTCTTTTCCAGACTAAATGATTCTGTGATTCTGTGAAAGATGACTTTGAATAACAGACATCTCACTGGATATTTACAATAAAAATAATCCTCTTTCCTTGCTTCCTTGCTTCCTCCCTCCCTCCTCCCAATGTCTGTAGTACTTACTTCTGCTGATCACAAAACTTTCATACTGCATTTGGCATATGGTGATAGGGAAACAAAAGCTGTCCAGAGGGTAATTTAAAAAAAGACTGTGTTCACAGATTGTTCTGCCTAAGACTTTAGAGACCTGCAAACTTTTCCCAACATTTGCAGTGGCAAATAGTTCCCAAATTTTAAGTGGCATTTAACTCAGAAGAAATTTTCAGTGAATCACAGAAAATAAGCAAAACTGAGCTGAAAGCAAGTTTTCTTTTAAAATGCTTGTTTCTAATCAGCATCTGTCTTAAAGAAACAGCTGAACTAATTCCTCATCAGCTGATGACAATATACATCTGTTGTGCCATAATTCAATGTTTTCCCATCAGTGCTTGAGCCCAGCCAAGTAGCTAAGTACCCAAAGCCCCACAGATGCTTTGCAATTTCCACAATCAGTTGCAACAATAACAGCATGTTAACTAATTTTTCTTATAAAAAATCTCACAAGCTCTGTACATAGTAACTTGTTTTGTGTGATTACTGTAGAGAGTAACTTTTAAAAAATTATCTATCCCTTTGGTGCACTAGTTTGTCTTGTAGTAAAAAGGGACTGTAGCTTAGCTAAGCAAAAACTTGCACAATTTTTTATAAGAAACTTGTCACAACCTGTAAAAAACTGAAGGTCCAGACTGTAATTTTACTCAAATTTTCTTTTCTGCAGATCACATCCCCACTTACACCATTGTAGGGGAAAGCTTAAACTTTCTAAGGATCTTGTTTCTTACCTATTTGTTGTCAGAGGTTCTTAAATGTTTGGAAATGAGAAAAGGAGTACAAACACATTCAGGAAAAAAGGGAGCATTACTGATGGGTGTCTTGTTAACAACTTCCCATCACAAAGATCATTAATTGCCTTTGTTCAGCTGCCAGCATTTGATGGAATACAGATGGGACAGATTTTTCTCCCTTTTGCTTTATCTCCTTAGTATCCCTTATGTGTCCAGAGATGCTTTTTAGTTTGAAGTAAAAAATACTTATCTTGATGGAGCAAAAATCACAACCTGCCACCAGGTGCTCCTCTACGCAAGGAGAATGTAATTGCTTCACCTCAACTCTAGTTTCTTCTTCAAGAGGGTCTTTAAATCCCTGGGAAACAAGCAAGCTGAATACTAGTTCAGCATGATATGATTCAATATTTTTACACTTTATCTGGCCTGTGGAAAGGGAACACAACCATTGTACACTCAAATGTGTAGCTTATGGTTTTTCTGAGGCATACCAAGTAGAGGTCAGCAGCAGCAAAACTCTTAAATATACTCAACCAGAGGAAGAGGAAGCTTTACCTCCTTTTCCTGGAATTTCTTCTTGCCTCTGATTTTCTGCAGATTATCTGCTGAGCCTTCTGAAGTGTTATTTTCAAGTAAAGATGCTTTTAAAAGGTGGTACCGCCAGTGAAGTTTACAAATTGTTACTAGTTTAGTTTTCTTTTAGAAATAAATAACTAAAAGGCACACATATGCAGTCTTTGCTGTTCATATTACCTGCATTCATAGTATGTCCATTTGAATCAGTTTTTACACTACATTTAGAGAAAGCCATAAATCAGCTGTTATTCATCGAGGGTATTTATTATTACTGCACATTCCTAATGCTTAATAAATAATAGCCTACTAAGATGCCACTGCTACTCCTGGAGAATGTTTCAAGGCCATGCCCAAGCTGTTGCAGGTTGTGTGACTATTCCATTCACAAATGAAACTTCCCCAGAAGCCATCTCTTATCTCTACCACTGCACTAACTCTCTTCTGATTCTGGTTTGACAACTCAACAAATCTGATTTCATAGCTGCTGGTACATGGCTAAACGCCACGTCCACATGAGACAACCTGTTCATCTGTCATAAACTCACTCACTTGACCAGTTCTGATTTTCTAAATCATTCTGACAGGGTAGTTTTGTGTAGGCAGGCTCTCCACCTGAGGGGAATTCTTTTTCCTGCGTCACTCTAACCTTATCCTGGATCAGGTATTTTCTACCCTCTTGAAATTAGCAGGAAAACAGAAAGCTGACATGAGGATGTTGATGTGTGCGTTGGCTAATTTGAAATGCAGATGTGCTCACATTTGATTTGGATCAAACTTCTACTATCTAGTAGAGAACAGATGCAGTATTATTAATTGTGGAAACAAGGCCTCAACTCTGCCTGCTCATATGTTTTGAACTGTTCTCTGGTGTATATAGAGGTAAACATGTTTCTCTTTTCACAGATGGGCTCTATTTTAGGCTTTATTTCAAAAAATTAACAATTAATGAGTTCGAGCTTCAAGTCTTTTTATTGAAAGCCAATATACCAATCCCATGACTTCATCTAAAGTTCAGGATAAAACTTCACTAGAAGTGTTATAACCTGTCACAGAGTGGCTACATCCTAGGAGACATGTAGATGACATCTTGATAATCATCACCACAAACTAAATTAAAGATCTTCACTTAGGAGCCAATGACTAAGAATTCACAGAAACCTCTTTGGAACTCTTGGCTGAATGAACAAAAACATGCGATTAAATCTTGTTTTCTAGGCAATAATCTGATCACACAGAGGGATCAAAAGAACATTCTCTCCAACCACAGCCAAACAACACAATAATGCATTATGTTTTGACAGTGTTTTTTTGGGAACAATATGCAAGGCAATATTCCTGATGTGTGCATTTACTTATGGTTTGTCAAAGTTAATCGCTTAGAGCTCTGAATATCTGAGAAAACCTGAAAGTCCTAATTCTGGGGTTTGTGTTTCCATCAAAAGACTCACCTTTCCATTTTTTGGTTTGCAGTGTTCCAGAGAGCACTGCAGAAGGGCTACTGTACACAAACTCCTTCAGTACTGGTATTGAACGACCACTCCACAAATGAGCTTTACTTGCTAACACAGCTAAGTTTGTTGCCCATACAAATCTCCTTCTCTTGCTGAGAATGTTCTGAATGCACCACTTATCACAAATGGCTCTTTGGTTACTTTTTTTTGGTTTTGGTGGGAGATTGTTTCACATACCTCCAATCTTGGCATTAAAGGCGATTCCTACTGTGCAGTGTGAGTTGTTTGCCGTGGCTGCCACTTCTCCAGCACAACGGGTTCCATGCCTGCAGTCAGACAAACATTTTTCCAAGTAAGCATCAACCATTGTGATTAAAGGCTTTGACTTTGCTTATTCTTCAATGCTAAATGCAGAACTATCCACAATGTCTGGTACCACTCAACCCTTTATAGAAATTTATACCCATGTTACAATATTTCTCTGAACACATTTTAACATCATTACCACAATCACTTCAAACTCTTCACGTCTACTGGAAACACATACACTTTGTAATAGAGACATACACTGGTGATACATAATTCACAGCAACAGAGAGGAGTCTTAGATATCAGTTCTTGATTTTGAACCAGGTCTTACATTTAGACAAAATGTTTGTCCAGCATTCACCCACGCGTATTGCTAGTATGTATATACATCTCCACCCAACCTCCAGTAGGCACACTCTTTCCCCAGGAAGATGAGATTGCACCAATGCCCACACCGTTGTTTAGAGGTAAGCCTAAGACTGGCTATATGCCAGGTATGCTCAAAGCTTTTGTATAGGCATGTTCTGGTTGTGCCTTGGGCCAACCCTGCAAGCTTGTTGTCTTTCTGGGAGCAGAAAAAATGTTTGAAGCACTCTTCACATCAGAGGTATACTATGGGCCTGGAAGCAGAGCTGGACGGCAAGTGTACAATCTCAAGAAGCTGCTGAAGGAAAACAAAGCCTCCAGTGTTTGCTCAGTCCCTTCCCCATCGTGCAAAGCCTTGCCCCCCCCGATCCATGCTCTCTACCAGGTGACAGTGATCATCCATAACATCCCCATGGCAGGAAAGCTGTCCCTGCTTTTTATGACTTTTGTGATTTTTGTTGCAACATAGTTTTCACAGCGTGTTTTCTACCAGTAAATCATGCCCTCACCCTTGTGCAGTTAAGCAGCTCCATTGCAGAAATGTGACACAAGCAAGAAGGAGCAGGCAGGGAACTTTAGAGATGTGCTGTGGAGAGGAGATACAGAGTTTCAGACCAGATAGGAAAAGAGATGGGGAGTTGATGAGACAAAGATAAAAAGATAATATAAGGCTGAGTACCAATAAATAAAGAAGGTTAAAAAGTCAAAATAAATAAATAACAACATAGCAAGCTTTAGGGAAGGCTAATAGAGGTCAGTTGTGTGCACAGGCACTCTTCTGCTCGTGGTGGTTGCCAGACTGCTTACACACACATCTGGAGAACATAGGTGTGTTTTGAAGTAAAGGTGATGCTCATTAACAGAAAAGAATCACTGTTGCTTTCCCCTGGTACAGCTTGTTTTGGGTAGAGTCACTCCTTATTTTGTTGTTATTAGCGTAACTTCTTTCCACTATCTTTTTGAGACACTTAAATGGGAAATTCTAAGATAACCTGTTTGGAATAGATTAATACAAACCAACAACAAACAGGCCTAGGAAAAAAAGAGAAGGAACAGAAAAAAAAAAAAAAAAAAAAAAAAAAAAAAAAAAAAAAAAAAAAAAAAAAAAAAAAAAAAAAAAAAAAAAAAAAAAAAAAAAAAAAAAAAAAAAAGCAATGCTAAACTGCTAGAATTACAAAGAAGATCATTTCATTTATCAGACAAGTAAGATACTCATAATGTATAAGAAAAGTCTAGTCTTTATTCACAAAATCAAAGTGACAAGTTGGATGCTGATTAATCCTAAAGCTGGATAAAGGTTTCACAATTGTATGTATATCTCAACTAATTTCCTATTAATCTGTCACAATTCATTACTTGGTTGCCAAACTCGATCTGAACATTTTTCATGACTAAATTTGAAGTTTATTTCTCATATGAAGACTAATTTTAAAGCCTAATTCTTTTTCATTTGAAGAAAGCCTATTTGACTTTAATTGATAAACAAATGTCTTATTCATTTGCTGAATTATTTTGAAAAGCCAGAAGTAAATAGCTTCAGTAAACAGCTTTGTGTTTGAAGTGGTGTCTTGTAAAAATGTATTAATATTTAAAGGAAAATGCCTGTCTTAAGAATTCTTTACAAGACCCAATTCCTGAACATCCCTTCTTCTCATTATGATTTTGTTAGGTGTCAATATAAGTTTTGAAGTGCTATCACTCAAACACCAAAGCATGTACAACTATACTCTGGAAAGGCAGAAATACCTGCACACATCAGCTCAGTGCAGATAATTTATTCATAAATCATTCCCTGCCTGGTGAAAGGCATGTGGTTAAGCTGCAGCTTCCCAGAGGGAGACTGCATTGCCAAGAAATCCCTCATGGGTACCAAATTTGAGAAGCAGTGATGGGAGGAAGGTTTTTCAGTAGAGAAAGTGGACAGACAGAAGCCACACCTGGAGGAGGGAGACTTTCAGAAGAAGAATGGCAGAAACAGCTCAAACATCTCCTTAGTTCCAAATGGAGTACAGGGATACCTGCTACTTTGATAGCTACATCCAGTAAGCCCTGTCAAGAGGGTTAGATTTCCACTGTATCATCAAACACGCTAGTCGCCCCAGGGCCAAGTACAGTGTGCAACATCACTTCCACTGACGCCTACCTAATGGGATGCCATTTTCTCAGAGGGGGAAAAGGGTTTTTGCACTGGAGTTAGCAGGGCTGATTGACAGAGCTTTAAACTAGATTGGAAGGAGGAAAGGGATAAAATCAGGCTTGCCAGTGATAATGCAATGGAACACCAAAATTTGAGGGACTGAGCGCTAGTGAGATCCTTCAGTCTGCTTCCCAATGTGTTGGCTACAATGAACTGCACTTGAAATGTTCCTAGCACCAATGTATCCTGCATGAGAAACAAGCAAGAGGAGACAGAAGCTCTGACCCAGTTCAAGAGATATGACATCATCAGCATAACCAAAACTGTTGGGATGAGTTCTGTGACTGAAGTACCATGGTGGACAGTTACAGGCTCTCCAGGAGGGATAAGGCAGAGCAGGTAAGACAGGGTAGCAGTACTGTAAGTAATGGAGGGGCTGGAATGCATGGCGCCTGCAGCTGGAAATGGCACAGTTGAGATTCTTGGCATAAGGATTAAGGGGCAAACAAAGCTGATGTAATTGTGGAGGTCTACCATAAGCCATCCAACCAGGATGATGACAGTAGCGAGTCAAATCTTTAAGGAACTAAGGAACATCTCTGAATCGACTGCCCTTGTCCTTATGGGGGACTCCAACTCCCAGATGTTAACTGGGAATACAACAGAGCTGGTACAAACAGGTCCAAAAGATTCCTAAAATACCAGTATGATAACTTCATGGTATAGGTACTAAGAGAGACGACTAGAAAAGTTGCCCTCCTTGTTTTGTTGCTTTGATTTGATTTGTTAAAAGAGAGGGGCTCTTGGTTTAAGTGGCAACAGGTGGCCATTCTGGCCACAGAAACCATGCAGCAATCTCTGATAACAGGAGAGTGCCAGCAAAATTTCAACCCTAGATATGAGGAAATCAGATTTCAGGGCAGTAGTTAGTAAGATTCCTGGGAAAATGCCTTTGAAGATGCTGGCATCCATCAGTGCTTTTTAAACACCACCGCCTAACACAACAGGAGCAGGTGATTCCAAAATATCAGAAGTCAAGAAGACAAGGCAGGAGGTCAGCTTGACAGAGCAGGGATCTTCTTCCGGAGCAAAGACAATGAAAAAAAGCGTATGGCCAGAGGAAGCAAGGTCAAATGATATGGGAACTTGCCATTGTACAGAGAAAATTCATGTGGCTAAAGCTCAATTAGATTTAAAGCTGGCCAATATTGTGGAAAAAATCAAAATCTTTTTTTAATATGTCAATAGCAAAAGGCACTGCAAAAATAATACTGGCCCATTATATGGTAAGAAGAGTCTCACAAACAGGGATACAGACAAGGCAGAGATGTTTAACACTTTTTTCTCTTCTGTCTTCAACAATGATGATATGCTATTAATTAATTGCATTCTACATTTCAAATGGAAATAATAAAAAGTTGTTTTATTAATTTCAAGGTCATACATATGAAAGCGCACTTCTTACAATCACTCTACCACTGTATGAATTAATAATACATGAAAGACAGTTTGTTTTAATATGTTATCTTTCATGAGTCCCTTAAGTAATAATCTGTCATACTTTAAGAATGGTACTCCCCAATTCAATGCTCTCACTAAGACTCTCCAAATCACACTGATGCTCTTGCTCCCCTGTTTTCCCCTCCCCCTCTTGCTGTGGCAGGATGAGAGGAGAATTGGAAAACTGCGAAACGCAAAGATCATGGGTTAAGATAAGGACAATTTACTGGAAACAGCCCCTGACACAATACCAGATGGCTCCCTCAACCATGTTTTCTTGACCAGAAGGAACTCCTTCTCCCTGGAAGACAGTCCCTTTCCCCTTCCCCCAACAGTCATGTGAGGTGGTATAGAACAACTTCTGTGTCCCAGACTTGCCTACTCCTGGCTGCTGCAAAAATTAACTCTGTCCTGGCTAGGACCAGGACATTATCCACCCCTTATTCCATACCACCTATGTCATGCCCAGAGCCTACACCTTCCAACTATATACATATATACACAAGCACAGGTATCATTTCCATAGTCAACTGCTGTCCCTCCAAGATGTCTTTTGAGCTCAGTTAGTTCATGACTGTGGGTTCTATCCACCCTAGATGTCTTCTGGGGCTCCCAGGAGGGCTGGTGTGCTGTCAGGAGGTGGTGAGCTGGATCAGGAACTCACGACTGGTTATATCTGGAGCAGTCCATACTCATGGTCCATGGTAGTTATGGCATACAGTGGCAGTGTCATTCAGCAACCAATATTACAGAATTCAAAATTACAGATTTTTCTCACCCAAAAAATCAAGTCCCCTTGAGGTACACATCAATTTTCCCCATTCTCTGTGTTACCCACCATGTGCACTCAAGTCCTTGAGCAAAACCAATTCCAGAGATGGGTTTGTCTTTCCTTGAGATTAGGTTTCCCTAACACATTCCTCAAGTTCACCATGGTGTCTTAATCCCTTCTATTAGTACGTGGAGGTTTTGATTGGGTAGGGCCAGCTCTATTGGTAAAGTCTCCAGTGTTAT